AGGAAAACAAGCAGTAAGACACAGCTTGGTTCTGGTGAGGATCATCGAATGGGACAACGTGCGAGAGGCACTTGGCATGGGGCTGGCACGACCTGCGGCTGTGAGCAACAGGTACTAATAATTAGGGACAGTCACCCATCACCCCCCACACCGCCCGCAGTCGCGCTCAGAAGAGGCCTAGCCACTGTGGTACGGCAGAAACACGAGCACCCTGCACGGCTGGAAGCCACATGGCCAACAGGCCGCAGGTTCAGATCCCCAGGGTGGTGTGACAGCACACTGGCTATGCGCATGTGCACACAGGGGCCCAGGATCCCATGGAGCTGTGGGGCTGGGGGAGGGGACAGCAGCGTGACAGAACCCTGTCAAGGGTGCCTCTTTCACACACGCACGCACGATTAAAAAATAATAACAACAAAGCTTAAAGGACAAAGAAAAGCTCAAATTAGGAAGCAGACTCAAGAGGAAACCAGGGGCATTTAAGGACAGGGGGATTCCAGGAAGGAGGGTCAGGGAAAGGCTGAGCACAGGCCACTCCTCTCAGAGAGCAGGCAGGAGGCTGCTTCCTGCTCCGAGCTGCAGTGGCCCTGACCAAGGGGAAGTCACGGCAGGGAAGGAGCAGGGGAGCGTGACGGCGGAGATCTGACGCTCATCGTGAACCTGCACCGCTGTGCTGCAGAAGGCACCAGGGCGGGCCGTTTCCACACCCCCCATGCCGCCTGTGTGACAGCCCCCACCACAGCCAACGGCAGCCCTGACCACAGCTGTCAGAGTCATGAAGATAAGCGTCTCAGGGGCCTCCGCGTGTCCCTCCCTGGCCAGGACCCTCACGTATCCTCTGTGTAAAGGGCCAACGCCCTCCACCGCGACACTGGGGGTTTCTAGACACGGCGTGAAGGCTGGCGGCACTTCCAGGGTGGTCACTCACTGGCGTGACCCGAGGGCCCACAGCAACCCTGGATTTTCTTCCCTGGGGCTCCTCCTAACCCAGGGAGCCTCGGAAACCAAGCCAGCTGGAAGGCCGCTGTCCTCACCTTCCGCTCACGGAGCTCCGGGCCCAGTACCCGGACACGCCATTCAGCCACAGGAGACGAGTCTGAAACGTGGGCACAGCGCGGGCTCTGGCACCGCACAAGGGTGAACCTGGCCCAGGGAAATCTTAAACACGACAGTGCCTCCCTGCCACTCCTTCCTGTCGGCCACCCGACCCCACCACGGAGGCTTCCGCAGCCGAGTCACCTCTCCGTGGGGCCTTGCCCACAGCCGGACGTCCCGGCATCCGGAGAACGCACGAGTCCAAGCCCACAGCGCTCAACACAGCACTTCTCACGCCCTCCTCCCTGGGCTGAACAAGGACTCGCAGGTTCTGAGCCCCCATGAGCCAGGCAATGGCCTACAGCTTCATAGACACGACCTGACGGGTCCTCCCCCGGAGAGGCCCTGTGCTCATCCCCACTAACAGACGAGGAAACTAAGGCGCCAGGGGATGACACCTCTTCCCTAAGACCATGTTGCAGGGGGCAGTGGCTGTCCCCACCCTTTCCCACACACTCCTGCCCTTCTCCGGCAAGGGCCCCTGGCTCTAGCTGGTAACACCCAAGTACTCAGCCAAAGCTCCAGGGGCGAGGCCTTGTTAGCTGCGGGCAGCAAGTGGTGTCCTGGTAATAAGGACTCGTGTCCTGGTAATAAGATCAGAACCGGCATATGACCCGAGGCAATCCAGTGACAGTAAGGACACGTGCATTCTGCTCCAGTGAGGTGGAGTGAGAATGTGATGTTTACAGGTGCCTTGGTCATGTATGAGGGAAACCCCAAGGGCGGGTGGGAGGGGACTGGGAGGCACTACGGTGAGTCAGAGAATAGAGCCGGCATTGTAAAGGCAGAGATGAAAGAAGCTGGTGCCTGATGTCATTGTGGGCTGCTAGATCAAGCTTCACCTGCAGCCCACACTCTGTCTGGACTTCTCTGGTAAATTTACCCTATTGCTTAAACCAATCTGAAATAAATGTGCTCCCACTTAACAATACAGAATGCCTTAGTAACCCAGGTTCTGATGTACTGAGTGAACTTCTATAAGCAACAGGATTCAGATTCTCACAAGTGGGAATTTAGGGTCCAAGTTTACTATCACCAAGAGCTTAGTCCTGAGCCGATCACTGATCTTCTCTGAGGCTCAACTGGCCACGAGCAAAATAGAACTACCACCGCCTCCTCCACAGAGGACTACTTAACCCACACAAATGTTGACTCCTGGGCCAGCTTTGCAGTGCAGGAGTTAAGCACTATGGAATGGGAGCTGGATCCCCCACAGCCAACTGCAGTTCGAATCCTGGCCCCAGGGGCAATACTTGAGCACGTGTGCACAAGCCCAGGATCCTGACAGGATGAAGAAAGGAAAGAAAAGGATCCTAGTGAAAGTCCTGGAGAAGAACAAAGGGAGTAGAGAAATAATGGCGGGCGGTGGACGCCACTTTCGTATCAGGCAAGCAGAAAAGGCCTCCAGGCCAAGCCGATATCTGAGCAAAGGCCTGAATAAGGTGAAGGATCACGTGCCCCTTTCTTCCACAGACAGAGGGAACGAGAGCGGGGTCTATTAGGGTGATGCACAGTGTGGGGAGAGCGGGGGTCTATTAGGGTGATGCGCAGTGTGGGCCAGGCACCGTTCCCAGGAACTTCCATCCCGATCAATCCTCACCAAGGCTGGGATGCAGGTGTGGCAGTTAAACCCTTTCACAGACATAGAAACTGAGGCCCAGTCACATAACCTGCAAGCAGCAGACAGAGCCGGGAATTTCCATCTGCACGTAGATGCCTCTGCATACGCTGAAGACGTCATGTTTGAGGTTTCTTTTCTTTTTAGAGAGAGATTTGTGCTATAGGGCATGTGAGCTCACCGGAGAGACAGACAGACACAGAAAGTGAGAAATCGCACCCCAGCGAGGATGGCCTGACGCAATCCCTCTCCTCCCTTCTCCTCTAAGGATTTCGGGCACCCACACACATGTGCCTGATGTAAATTTTAAGCCTCTATTCTGGGACTTGAAACTTCGTCAACTACATGGGAGTCCAGCGACCTAACCATTATGCCATCAGCTGGTCCCCGTGTTTGCGTTTTTTATCATCTGCACGTACCACTGTTCCTGTTAAAATGAGCATAAAAGGAGTTTCACGCGTATACAAACATATCCAGGCAAGCTATTTTTCTTAGAAGGATTCAACAACAACCAAAAAACTAATCTCCAAGGGGCAGGCCTGATCCCAGGGAGGGGAAGGCAAGAACATATTCGTTTTTGTTTTACTGTTTAGATTTTCTATTCTGCGTTTATTACCTCTAAACTAATAAAGAAACTACTTCACACTTTAAATAAATAAATAACCCAGAAGGAATTTAAGGGTAGAAAGGCCTGCATGCTGAGCTGGGAACAAAGAGAAAGCATGCATTTATCGGGTGCCAGCAACAACAGCCACCGCTGGCAGCCAGGCGAGGCGCCGATTTCCAAGTGTCAGTCCAGCTAAACCACAAGACAGCCCGACAGACTCAGGACTATAAACCTCCCCGCTTTCAGGTGTCGACTCTGAGCTCCAGAGAGTTGAGGCAATATTCAGGCTCATTAACCTGGATGACAGAGCTGGGATCTGAACCCAAAATGAGTCTGATGCTGAACTCAACGCCTGGGCTCCACCATCTCTACCCAGGTGCCTGCAACACCAAGGGATTTGTGAGGCCACCAGTCACACAGTCCAGTCGAGGCGGATTGGAGGCAACTTCTCCAAGGAGGGCAGGCCCTCAGCCCTACGGAGTCTGGGGCCACCTGTGCACCACAGACTTGGGAACAGCTCGCAGCTCCTCCTCGCCCCTGAACGTGTGCTGCACAGGGCGGCAGTGAGGATGGAGTTCGAAGCCTGGGTTCCCATTGCTGCCACCCCCAGACCATACATACTACGACAGAAAAAGGGGTCCAGGATGGCACTCGGTTTTGCTACTAAAAAGCTAAGAAAAGGGACAGCAGACCCACCCTCCACACAGATTTCCCTGTGAGTTAGAGGTGCACATCCCAAGTCCACTCCTATAAGCTGATGCTAAATGCCAAGCGGCATGGAACCCGAGGCAGGGAGGACACGGCTGACCTCCTGACCACAGCCACACGGCAGCCTTGAAGAGGCATCTGCACACCCTGGTTCACCGCAGCATCATTCACAGTAGCCGAGATGGAAATAACCTAAATGCCCATACACAGACGAGCAGATAAGTAAAGGCCGTGTAGGTACGCAATGGAGTATATTACTAAACCAAAGGGAAAGAAGCCCCGCCACGAGCCAACACGGATGAACATGGAGGGCATTACGTTAAGTGACACAGTCAGGCACAGGACAAACACCGTATGGTTTCTCTTTTTTCTTTTTTTTCATTTGCTACAGGACACAAACACTCACCATAGAGAGACAGAGAGAGAGAGAGAGAGAAAAAGAGAGAGCAAGAAAATAGTCCCCAGCAGGAATGGCCACACTGCAATCCCTCCTCTTCTCTGGATTCCAAGCACACGTGCACACACACCCAGTGTGTTCTTTAAGCCACCAGGTCCTAGGTTTGAACTGCAGTCAGCTATGAGGGATCTAATGCCTTAACCACACCACTGACTGGGCTCCATGGTCTTTTTTATAAGTAGAGGTGACCAGGGGCTAGGAGTGGGGGAAGCAGGGAGGTGTTGGTCAAGGGGTGCAAAGCATTGGTGATGTGGGCTAAGTAGACCCTAGTGATCTGCAGCATGGTACAGCATCTATGGCGACAGTACTGGATTGTAAACGTAATAATTTGCCAAGTGGTTGTGTGTGTGTGTGTGTGTGTGTGTGTGTGTGTGTGTATTTTTGCCAGTGGGCATGTACACTCCCCAGACAGGAGAGAGAGAAAAAGCACCCCTACCTCCAATGGGACATGGTCATGCCACAATCTCTTCTTCATGCCTCCCTCTCGTCAGGATTTGGGGCATGCACACGCGTGCCCAGTGTGTTTTTCAAACTGCTGGGGCCAGAATTTGAACTATATGGTCAGCCAAGTGGGATTCAGCTCCCTTCCCCAGGGCCAGCCCTCAAGTGGGTAGATCTTATGCTAGATATTCTGTGTATAGATAAATAAATAAATAAATAAATAAATAAGAAAGACAAGAGGAAACTCTCGGAAGTGATGGATATATTTATAGTGTAGTGATGGTTTCACGGGAGCATATTTAACTCCAAATTCATCTAGTAGCATACAGGAAGTATGTCCCTTTTTCATGCTAATCATCTTTTTTTTTTTAAGAATTATTTTAACTTCATCTATTTACATTTTTTTTTAACTTGACCATAGAGGGACAGAGCAAGGGAAGAAAGCAAGCTGCCAGGTCTGGGACTCAAACCATGGTCAGTCATGGGACCAGCAGTTGGCGTAAAAAAGAAAAACATGGTCAGCCATGTGGGATTCCAGCACCCTCAACCACCAGGCCACCTGCCGGCCCCTTATGTCAATCATGCCTTAATAATGTGGGTTCTCAGAGTTTTTTTGAGAGGTTTTTGCTATAGGGTGCATGCACTCACCAGAAAGACAGAAAGACAGAGAGAGACAGACTGAAAGCAAGAAATCACCCCCCAGAGGGGATGACCATGCCACAATCCCTTCTCCTCCATTCTCCTCTCGGGATCTCGGGCATGCACACGCACGTGCCCAGCGTGAGTTTAAGCCACTGGGTCTGGGACTCGAACCACGGTAGGCTACATGGGAGTTCAGTGACATAGCCATTACACTAACTGCTGGTCCCAATAACATGGTTTTGATTTCAAAAGAAAACAGACCCAGAGAGGGCAAGAGCACAGTCTGCAGAGCTCAGGCAGAGACCCAGTTCCTATCGCCCAGCCCTGGCGTCCCTCCGCTCTCAGCAGTTTACCTGAGGACATGGCGTCCAGGGGAACACAGCAGGTACACACGCGGTGTGCGGTGTGCCCTGATATGTGAGATGAAAGAAAGAAATGAATACCACACATGAAGTATAGAGGCACACTTGTGTGTGAGAAAATCTCTGGAAACTCTAGGAACTGGTGACAATGACTTCCAGGGAACGACCTCCCAGCTGGACGGGGTCGGAGGGACGATCTCCAGCAAATGCCTCTTTCTACCTTCTGGTTTTTGAACCACGGGACGTACAACCCTTTTCACAGAGGCAGGCACAAAGGCCAGGAGGAAGAAAGGAAGGAAGCGAGGGAAAGAAAAAGAAAGAAATACCAATGACGGCAAAAGCAACGAAG